TTTGTTACTATAGTACCTTTACCACAAGTGTCTATATCTCCTGATGATAATTCTCCTTTTATTCGTGGAACTGTTAGAACTGTTAGCTGTTCTGTTGTTTTTACTTCTCCTTTACCTACTAATCCTAATGTTTCATTTACTGTCTTCAAAGATGATATCCAATTGTCATTTGTGAACAGTTCCAGAGTAATAGCAGTTCAGACTGGAACTACTGGCGCTCTTACCTTTCAACCACTCAATTTCTCTGATGCTGGTAATTATACATGTACTGCTACAGCAAGAGATGATGCTAATAATCCATTAATAATACCAAGCAGTGCTTCTGATGAATATATTGCTACTGTACAAGGTAATGTACTGTACATGTAGTGTGAAATACAAATGATCATTTTACTATTATTTTAGCCATTCCTGTTCCTAATATCACATTCACTACTACTATTGGTAGATCACTGGGAGAGAGTTTAACTCATAATTGTACAGTTGATGTGCTAGATGACCTATACAATATTAATGTTACCAGCAGTATAGTAAGAAATGGAGAACTCATTACTAGTACTACTGGATCTGGTGATACTACAGCAATGATTAGAATTAATTCATTAAAGTCATCTGATGCTGGAGACTATCAATGTATTTTTAATATCACTCAACCTGATATAGACTATGAATTTAATGGAATAGAATCTGCCCAAGTGATATTAACAGGTATGTTGAAGCAGTTAAATTAATGTTTTAATTTTTGTTTTTTATAGTACCAACTCCTTCAGTTATTGTTGAACATAATGCTACTGGGCATTTAGTAGATGGAGAACTAGCAGAAGGACAGTTTCTTGATATTATGTGTATAGCTGACATCAGTCAATATATTGATACTAGTGTTAGTGTTACTATGAGTTGGAGGAGAAATAACACTGTACTGACCAATGGAAGTGATTTTACTATCAGTCCTCCAGTTATGACTAGTAATCAGTACACTGGTGTGTTACGTATTAATAGTTTAAGAGATGAGCTTGATAATGGTGCTAGTTATAATTGTTCAGTTAGTGTGACTCCTAATACTCCTTTTATAATAGCAGGGAATGATAATAGCAGTGCAGTTACATTAACTGTAGCAAGTAAGTGAATTAATTCATATTTTACCACATCTACATTGTATTTTGATAGGGTTTGATATCAATCATGTTGATATAAGTATCAATATTCCTTCTGTTCCTGTTGCTGGTGATTTATTCAATTTATCTTGTGTCATAGTTGTACCTCCTAATTTTGTGGAGAATCTTACTAGTGTCAGATGGACTTATGATTTAGAAGCATCTCAAGATGTGACTAGTGAAAACGATGATGCTACACTAGTACCTGTTGTTAGAAATGGAAATATATTCACCAGTGTACTTACACTTGATCCAGTGAAGACAACTGATGCTAGACAGTATTACTGTCAAGCAACAATTCTAGTATTTGGTACTGTAGATCGTACTAACAGAGATTTAACTGTTAAAAGTTAGCTATGATTTTTATTTGATTATTTAAAGCAATACTCGTCTTTTATAGTATCTCCTCCCAGTGTATCAATAGTTGCTAATCCTCCAACTGGTCCAATATATGAGAGTACAAGTTACTTACTAACTTGTACAGCTACAGTAAACACTACAATAGTGAATACACCAGTAACTGCTAGTGTAGTATGGACTGATCCTAGTGGTAATGTAATACCAACTAATGAATCAAGACGTCAAGTGATACCTCCAACTGGTAACAGTCTTGTAAGCATGCTATTGTTTCAACCTATTGATACTGGTCTTAATAATGATGGAGGAACATATACCAGTCAAATGATCGTCAATTCTGGTAACTCATTAATAGCATCAAGTCAACCTACTGATACTACCCTTCCTGTTATTGTTGAAAGTAAGATACAAAAATGTACTTCTCTTTTCTCTTATTCTCACTTCTTTTTTTGTTTACTTTTATCCTTTTTTATTGATCTACTTATTCTTTTTTTAGGTCTTCCTCCAATGACAGTAGATTTCTCATCAGTTGGTTCAGTTGAAGTTGGTCAGAGTCTAACTATAACATGTACCATAACAACAGTTGAGAGATTAGTAGTAACACCATTGATTAATTTCACCAAAATGAATGGGATAAATTTTGAAATGCTCTTTAACTTAAATAGACCATACAGTATCACAAGAGATGATACTGGTTCAGTTACTAACTATACTCTAATACTGGATCCAGTGAGGTTTGAAGATGCTGGAATGTATACATGTATGGCTGAGTTTAATGTAACTGGTTTTAATAATACCAATGATCCTAGCACTGCTACTTATGATTCTCAAGATGATAGTGATACCTTTAATTTAACTTTTGACTGTAAGTTACTGTAGTATTAAACAATAAAATTTGAGTTATCAAATAATTTATTTTTTATCTCTTTACAGTCCCTCCAGTGCTTGTTACTATATCAAAGGAACGTGATGATACATTATATGCAGGGACACCATTCTTCATTAAATGTGACATAATGTTAGATCCATTAGTTACTATACCAGTGACTGTCACTAATCAATGGACACATGATGGTACTAATGTTCCTATGGGTTCATCTGATGCTACTATTACTGAGGGTCTCAATATGATCAATACATTACATTATAATGCAACATTAATGTTCTATCCATTGGATAATGCTGATGATAGTGGAGTGTATACTTGTAATGTTAAAGTGACTGCTCCTAATAGTTACATGTATCTCAGGAATACATCAGCTAATGCTAATACTTCTATTGCAGTAAATGGTAAGTATTGCTAGTGTCACTTTTTTGCTTTGTTTTATTTCCTACCTTTTCTTCATTTTCTCCCTTTTGTTACAGCTGCTCCAGTGCCAGTAGTAGAGATAGTAACTATGGGTATTGCTGAACCTGGTGAAGAATACATGTTAAATTGTACAGTGACAGTTGTTGATAGACTCATAGTCTCACCAGTGATAACATGGACTAAGAGATCAGCTAACAATGTTATTAGTGTACCTCCAGTTCTTATGACTGTATCTAATGTAATGAGTTCTCTTTATTTGAGATTCTCTTCTCTCAATACTTCTGATGCTGGTCTGTATACTTGTGAAGCCTCCATTAATATTAGTCAAATATCCATGGTAGCAAGGAGTAATGAATCTTGGAATTTACAATTAAAAAGTAAGCAGTACTAAGCACACAATCTGTATAATTTTTCTTGATTTTACTTTACTGTACACGTATATTGCTATATAGTGTGTGTCACTATTTTATGCATATTCTGATTTTGTTGTCATTTCTAGAGTAGAATTGGGATCACAAGAGTAAGATTTAGTCATTTGGAATCCTTCTTGCACTTTTTTATTACTTTTTTGACGAATTAGTACAGAGTGATAGAATCCTACCCGATCTTTTTTTAAAATGTTTGTATAGCCCATGCTTCTTATCTAAAGTGGCTCTAAAATGACCCACTTTTTTATTGAATTTTTGAATACATATTGATGTCCTTATGCAGTGTAGAAATTTTGAGCTAATTTTGATATAAAAGTTTTGAGTTATGGCCATTTTAAAAATATTTTGTGGGAAATGTGTTGTGATTTTTACTATGAATTTAATGGAATGGAAACTTTAAAAGTGATACTTACATGTATGTTAATTGGAATAATTTATATCATGTTTTATTTTTTGTTTTAATAGTACCAACTCCTTCAGTTATTGTTGAGTATAATGCTACTGGACATTTAGTAGATGGAGAACTAGCAGAAGGACAGTTTCTTGATATCATGTGTATAGCTGACATCAGTCAGTATATTGATACTAGTGTTAGTGTTACTATGAGTTGGAGGAGAAATAACACTGTACTGACCAATGGAAGTGATTTTACTATCAGTCCTCCAGTTATGACTAATAATCAGTACACTGGTGTGTTACGTATTAATAGTTTAAGAGATGAAGTTGATAATGGTGCTAGTTATAATTGTTCAGTTAGTGTGACTCCTAATATTCCTTTTATAATAGCAGGGAATGATAATAGCAGTGCAGTTACATTAACTGTAGCAAGTAAGTGAAGTGATTGATATTAATAAC